GAGTAAAGAAGAAAAAAAAAAAATTTTTTTTTTTGGCACCTAACACGGGGTTTGAATTTCCAAAAGACCTGAGAAAGTGTTTTAAAAAAGAAAAAAAGAGGATACTGCTCCCTTCTGAGTTTTGCCAGTGAGCCCTTGAGCAGCCAGTACATTAATAGGAACAAAAACCTAAGTAAAAAATGCTTGCCACAGTACAGGGTGCTGGCATTCCAGAGTTGGGGCATTAAATGCAGTTCCTGGTCACAGACACCTCTGACCTGGACTGAGCTTTTGTCTTGGCTTTCAGGACTGGAGAAGTGGGTGGAGCCAGCGGCTAAAGCCCCTGTTCTGCTTAGCAGTTTAAAGTTTGCTCACAAGGTCAAAAACACTACAGACATGCAGTTGTTTCATGTGGATTTTCTGGGAATCAAATTCTGATCCTCTGAAGAAGTAGCAAGCACTCTTAGCCACCGAGCCACCTTCCCAGCCTTATCTAGAATTATTATCATTTTTTAAAATTGTGTGTGCGTGTGTTTGTCTGTCTGTCTGTCTCTGTGTGTGTGTGTGTGTCTGTCTCTGTGTGTGTTTGTCTGTCTTTCTGTCTCTCTGTGTGTGTTTGTCTCTCATCTCTCTCTGTGTGTGTCTGTCTGTCTCTGTGTGTGTGTGTCTGTCTTTCTGTCTCTGTGTGTGTGTGTCTGTCTTTCTGTCTCTGTGTGTGTGTGTCTGTCTCTCATCTCTGTGTGAGTGCCTATGTGTGTGTGTGTGCTATATGCCATCATGAATATGTGGAAGTAAGACAACTTTGTGGGGTCAGTTCTTGACTTCCTTTCTCTGTGTGAGTTACACTCAGGTCACCAGTCTTGAGTGGCAACTGTCTTTGCACACTTAGCCACTTCATGCCCCGCCACCCTGAATTCTTGATTTGGTAAATTTGTGGTGATGAATATGATCTCTACCAATGATAAACCTCATGGTCTGTGCTCAGCCTGGAGACCTCTCAGCTGCAGAGTACAGAATCCTTGCCCGAAGTATAATTCTCTTTTGAGTCCAAGTCTGCTATATATCCAGTCTGACCTTTCTCCCCAACTCCAGCAGATTTTTTATGATTTATTTTATTTTATTTTACATGCATTGGTGTTTTGCCTTCATGTATGTCTGTGTGACTGTGTCAGAATCCCTGGAACTGGGAATTGAACTCAGGGGGGAAACAGCCAATATTCTTAACTACTGAGCCATCTCTCCAGCCCCTCCAGAAAGTTTTTTTTTTTTTTTTTTTTTTTTTTTTTTTTAATAGGTAAGATGAACTGTTGCCTGGCATGGTGGTAGGCACCTTTAACCTAAACACTTGGGAAACAGAGGCAAGTGGATCTCTGTGAGTTTGAGACCAGCTTGGTCTACAGAGCAAGTTCCAGAACAGCCAGTGGCTACAGAGAAACCCAGTTTCTAACAAACAAACAAAAAGATTAGCCAGCTATGGTACAGGCTGAGGCAGGAAGACTGTTGTGTGAAGACAGCTTAGACTACATTACTAAAACTGTCTCAAAGAACTAAAACCTTGCCAGCACTCAGGAGTCAGAAGCAGAGGGATTTCTGTGAGTTCAAGGCCAGCCTGGCTTACATCAAGAGTTCCAGGCTAGCTAAGGCTTTGTGAAGATACCCTGTATGGGGGAAGAGAAAAAGCAAAAATGTATATATAATCCACCCCCAAAAAATACATCAAGATTATTCTAAAATGTATATGGAAAAGCAAAAGAACTAAAGTAATTCAAATTGTTTTGAAAAACAAGAATAGAGGAATCATTTTACACAATTTCTTGCTTTATCTATCTCCAGTAATCAAAACTGTGATGTGGGCGAAATAACAAATATCTAAGCATCATAGAAAACCAAAAGCTGGCAGTGAAGAGATGGCTCAGTGGTTAAAAGCACTGGCTGCTCTTCTAAAGGTCCTGAGTTCAATTCCCAGCAACCACATTGGCTCACAACCATCTATAATGAGATCTGGTGTCTTCTTCTGGCCTGCAGGCTGACATGCAGACAGAACATAGTTTACATAATGAATAAGTAAATACTTAAATTTTTTTAAAGAAAGAAAACCAAAAGCTACCTTTACATAAACATAACTAGAAGACTTTTAATTTAAAAGTTTTTAAATTATATTTTATTTATTTTGTGAGCATTTGGGTAGGGGTATATAATGACACATTATACATCCTTCTACCATGTGGGTTCTGGGAACAGGATTCAGGTTGTCAGGCTTGGTAACAAGTGCCTTTACCTACTTGCCACTATCTCATAGGCCCATAAATTTTTGACATGCAAGAGCAATTTAATAGAGGAAAAGGTAGCATTTTATTTTTATATATTTTATTTGTTTTTTTTTTAAAGGTAAGGTCTCAGAAAAAAAAAAAAACAAAACAAAAGATAAGGTCTCATATAGTCCAGGTTGCTTTCAAAATCAAGATCCTCCTGTCTTTGCCTCCTAAAAATTGTATTTAAATTTTTTTTAATTTTCATGTATTTGGGACTGGAGAGATGACTAAGGGTTAAAAGCAGAGAACCAAAGTTGGATTCCCAGAACCTACAAGACTGCTTATAGCCATGCAAAATTCCAGCTCCAGGGCATTTGATGCCCTCTCCTGGCCTCTTGAGACACCAGGCATGCATGTTGTCCACATACAAACATGTAGGAAAGCATGTATTCACATGCCTTGTAGGAGTAAATGCTCTCCTTCCACCATGTGGGGACCAGAAATCAAACTTGGGTTGTCAAGTTTGACAGCAAGCACTTTTTATTTTTTAAAGATTTATTTATTTATTATGTGTACAGTGCATTCTGTGTACGTCTTTCTGCAGGTCAGAAGAGGGCACTAGATCTCAATATGGATGGTTATGAGCCATCATGTGGTTGCTGAGAATTGAACTCAGAACCTCTGGAAGACCAGCCAGTGCTCTTAACCACTGAGTCATCTTTCAAGCCCCTAGCAAGCACTTTTACCTTACCCACAGTGCCAACCCTAAATAGTTTTGTTTGTTTTAGTTTAGTTTAGTTTTGCTTTGTATTTTGGAGACAGGGTTTCTCCATGTAGCCCTGGCTGGTCTCAAATTCAGAGATCTGCCTGCCTCTGTCTCCTGACTGCTGAAATTAGAGGCATGTGCCATCACCACCTGGCTCCAAATAGTATTTTTTAACAAATAGTGTGAGCTATTGGATTCCATATGTAAAACAAACAAACCCCTTTACTTCAATCTCACAGCTGAACAAAAATTACAGTGGTCCATCCATGCCTGTAATCCCATCACTAGGCTATTTTTATTTATTTATTTATTTATTTGTTTGTTTGTTTTTTAAAGAGGGCCGCTGGTGACCTATGCCTTTAATCCCAGCACTCTGGAGGCAGAGGCAGGTTTGTCTCTGTGAGTTGGAAAACAGCAAGCTGCAGAGGGCAGCCAGAGCTGTTACACAGAGATACCCTGTCTCCAAAACCCAAAAACAAAACAAAAGCAACAACAATAACAAGCCGTAAAGAGGGATGGGACAGGAACATGGCTCAGCAGACAGGGCCAAGCTGTGTCTGTCTTGATAGCAAAAGAGAAGGTTGGGTGCTCAAAGAGGCAGGGGTTGCTACCAGGACTATGTGGTGATGGAAACTGGATTTATCCGAATACAGTTAATAAATGTGGGGCATGGAAACCTCTGGATCTGGCTGCAGAAGTCATTCCTCTCTGTCTGCTCCTACCTATATTTCTCCTTAACTTCTCTTTGTGGAGCTGGAGTAGGGCATCTTTAGGAGTGCTATACCTCCTCTCACTTCCTGGGATTCTTGGACTTTAAGTCATGGTCCTGGGGAATCTTATAGTTACGCAGTGGAACACTGTCAAACACACAAGAATCCTGCCAATAACAAAGGACCTGTTTTTCAAGCAACAATGTTTTTTCCTCAGGTGCTATGCTGATGGATGGGGGCGAGCGCGGGGGGTGGGGTCACTGCTGTGACAGAAACAGTCCACACCCTTGGGAAAGCTGAAATGCTTCACTCTCAAGGCCCTTGAGTAAGCAATCCATCCTGCACATCTTCCCCACTTCCAGCAGAGGAAGGGAATAACTGCAGTGATGGGCAGGGCAGGCTGCTTCCGGGTGGGGACGTTGCGGCAGTAATGGGAAACCTCGATTGAGGGCAGTCGCTTTAGAGAACACACAAAACGAAGGCACATGCCGCGAAAAGGGAGGCTCCTAGGTAACTAAGAACTATTTTGCTTCTCGAGGGAACGAGGCTTAGATGGTGGGACACTGATTTCCGCTGCGGTTATGAGGGAGGGTCACTGCAGTGAATGGCAGTCTACCAAGGGCGGGGTGGTGGTGGGTGGGCCACTGCAGTGCTGGGAAGGGGGTGTGTGCTTGCCGACTTGGCCGCCCTTGCCTTACCTCCTCCAGAAGGATGGAGAGAGGTGAGCCTCATTCTGGAATTGGTGGGGGTCGTGCAGCAGCTGGGATGCTATCTCTGCACTGCGGAGTCTGGCCTGGCTCCCCCCGGGCCGACGCGCAGGCGGTATGGTGTCCGAAGGAGCCGAGCCGCAGCCCCCACCGCAGTGGCGGGCGGGGCAGAGGCGGGCTGGAGGGGAGGCCCCTGGGAACACGGGCGGGACTACCAGCAACCCGTCTGGCGTCTGTCTCCAGGCTCACAGTTCCGAACCGGACCCGCAGGTGAAGGGACAAGGGCAGCCTGGAGCCCAGAGGAGGGATCACCCATTCTAGTGTGGTCACGAAGCCCACAACTCCGCCAAGAAGTGACGGTGAGGCTTGAGCTGCCCAAAGGGAGGGAGTGATCCCAGGACCCACCCCGTAGCATCCCCTGTGGCTACCTCAGCAATCATCTAGTCTCAGGCCAGCCTGGGCAGGGAGAAGCTCTCTAGACAGATCACATGGACTCCAGCTGCCGCGACACCTCTGCACATCTGACCTCCCCAGACGCGTTTTTACCTTCCTTCCTTGTTCTTCCTACTGCAACCTTTCAAGCCTGCAGCCTCTCTCAGTACTCCAATCTTGAAAGGCAAGGAGAGATAAAAGACTGCAGCCCTTTCAGCTCCTTGTCTCACCCGGGCCCTGGGGACCCTTGTGAGCTAGGGGCGCCTGGTACGACGCCGGCCCTTTAAACCTTTGCCCTCCAGAGTATCTTCCATCTCTCCACAAGCGCCACTTCCGACAGCTGGCAGCCGTAGGGAGCACTGAGGAAGGGGGCTGGTACGGGGGCGGTGGCGAGGCCCTGAGAAAGTGCAGGAACAGCTGTGGACACCCCCGACACACAGCCGCAGGGGGCGCCTGGACTGGAGGGTTAACCATTAACCCTCCACTCCCTTGCTGCCGAGAGCTGCCCTACGCCCCGGCTACCCAGGTAACGGGCGAGGATGCCCATCTTGCCATCCCTGCAATCCCCTTTTCTTATCTGCCCCGCCACCTGTCTGCCTGGAGGCGGGGTAGGGGTGGGGGTTCCCCGGCTCAGCCTTATGCCCTCTGTTCTCCTGAGTTCCCAGCCTATGTAGGGTCTGGTAGCATAGGTAGGCTTCAGGACGCAGGGAGGGGCACCACTCATCCAGCCCCTGTCCACGCAGGGTGGGCACCATGCCCGGCCTGTATTGCCCTTCCAGCTGGACGCCGCTGCCGCTCACCGACTCCTGTGTCCGGGCCTATGCCAAAGGACCCTGTCTCAGCCTGCGGGCCCGGCTCACCTACCACAACCCGCAGCCCCAGCCAGTGGACGGTGAGGCCTGGTGCGGGCGCGGGGAGGTAGCAAGTGTCAGGTGGGGTTCGACAGCGCGTCTGCCTGCTCCGGCTCGCAGGCGTGTTCGTGTACCCGCTGGCCGAGGCGGAGGTGGTTTCTGGCTTCGAGGCCGAGGCAGCCGGACGGCGTGTCTCCTTCCAGCTACAGAGCCGGCGCCGCTCTCAGGCCGCTTGCTGCCGCGCTTTGGGGCCCGGACTGGGGACCTCTACGCCCCGCCGCTGCGCACAGGGTAAGTCTGAGCCCGAACCCGCGCCCTCGAAGGCCAGCCATAGCTCAGGTTCCTGCATCCTTGTGCCTCCCGTTTTCTTCCTTCTTCTTCTTCTTCTTCTTCTTCTTCTTCTTCTTCTTCTTCTTCTTCTTCTTCTTCTTCTTCTCCTCCTCCTCCTCCTCCTCCTCCTCCTCCTCCTCCTCCTCCTCCTCCTCCTCCTCCTCCTCCTCCTCCTCCTCCTCCTTCTTCTTCTTCTTCCAGACATTGATTTTATTTTCCATCCATTAACTCATCCCTTTATCCAACAGTCATGGACTGGGCACCTGACGGGACCTGGTGCTGGAAGGAAATGGCCCAGGCCGAGTCTGAGGTTCGCAGCCAGGCAGGCAGACAAACACAGCAGACATGACCCCTACTGTCCAGGTGGCTGTAGACTCTTTAGGATGAGGCAGAGAGTACTCTGTCCTCCCCAAGAGAGCACTTTCTAATCCCTTATCTCTTAGGCTACACAAATGAGCCAAGTCCCCGGTGAACCTGTGACTGACTAGTTCAGAATCAAATGCAAAATGCTGCCCAACAGACCAGGTTCTCACTCACTAGCCTCTCTGGCACCAGGTATCCAGTACTTCTCTAGCAGCTCTCTGGACATTTTCCTGCTCTACCAATCCGTTCTAACTAGCGCATCTGTGCTTGGTTCTTTGAGAGCTACTCAAATGCTACTCCTTAAGAAATTCTCCCTCACCCTCCACAAATAATTGATCCTTGTTCCCCAGCCAGAAGCACTTAAGAGGGAAACATCTGCTTATCTGTCTCCTGAAGCTTAGCTCCTGAGTTCAGGGCTGTGCTTTGGTTATTTCTAGACCCCATTCACCTAACACAGAACCTTGGACTACGGGTCCCAGTGAGTGCTGAAGGGGATGAGAGTCCCACCCTGTGCTCTGCTCTGTGGTTTGCATTCTTCTCTTTTGTTTATTCATTTAAATACTCATTTTATTCTTGCCCACATGATTATCATGCAAGAAAACAGATGGTGTTGAGAGAATGAATGGGTAAGAATCCAGTGGTGTTGGGAGCTGGATTAAGCCTCACAGACAGGTTAAAGCAAGAATAAGATCTGGGCTCTGTCCCCAAGGATGTTCCAGAAAAAAGAGCAGGCATTTAATTGGAAGAGTAGGAATTGGTGAAGTGGACATAGGGGTGATGGTATAAACAAAGATGCTAGCAATACAGGACCCCAAGAGATTTTCAGTTTATGAAGCCTGTATGTTCTATACTCCACACAAAGATTATAGGGTGTGCATAGTTTCCCTCTACCTCCTATTGGTAATGAAAGTGACAGCCATGGCCCTTGAATTTTTGGGTGCTTTGCGTTCATTATTTCATTTATTCCTCGCCATAATTGTTGAGCTATGATTATGTTCTCCATTTTATGTATGAGGAATTGAAGGGCTCCCAAGAGGACTGTCAAATGACACAATTAGAAGTCACAGAGCCCAGGCTTAAACCATGACTCTGTTCCTCTCATTCTGTCAGTCCTCAGCTGGGTGGGTGGGTGGTAGCACCCACTTTGTTGCTTGTTTTTATTTTGTTAATTCTTTTTTTTTTTTTTTTTTTTTTTTTTTTTTGAGACAGGGTTTCTCTGTAACCTTGGAGGCTGTCTTGGAACTCGCTCAGTAGCCCAGGCTGGCTTCAAACTCACAGAGATGCACTTGCCTCTGCCTGTTTTAATTTTTTGAGACAGTGTCTCACTAAGTAGCCCTTGATGTGCTGGAACTCACTATATAGACCAGGCTGGCCTCTAACTCAAACTCACAGAGATCCATCTGCCTCTGCCTCCAGAGTACTGGGACTAAAGGGGTGAGGCATTACACTGGTCTCTCTCTCGTACCTAGTTTTTATTTATCTCCCTTTTTACCTTTTTCTTCTGTTAACTTATTCATCAAGTATTTCAGGAAAGGATGAACAAATGATTGCTGTGAGAAAAGGCAAAGTGGAGCTATAAAAGTAAACTGAGGCTGCTACTGAGGTTGAACTGTGCAACTGTACTCCAGTTGGTCTGTGTAGCTGGTACTCACATCCAGCAGCAGTGGTGAGCTTTTAACCCCACCAGACCTCTAAGAAGCCCACATTCTAAAGAGAACCTGTACTTTGTATGTGAGTGCTGGCTGCATCCTCTAAGCACATTGCTGCCCCTAGCCTCCCTCTGAAACTTCAGGAGCCACCCTAGTGGGCCCTGGGAGGGGGAGAGCCTGGAACTTTGGTGAGTACAAGGTTTGTGAAAACATCAGGTCCCAACCTAGAGGGAGATGTCAGTCCACAGGAGAGGCTCTTGAGGGTGATTGCAAACTAAGGCTGAACAGGAAGGGACAGGCAGGGCAAAAAGGGCCCTGCAGGATGTTAGGAAAGGATACAGCCCTTTGCTTCAGTCCTCCATCAGCTGTGATGTCATTGTGCTCTTGCTGTTGACAGCCAGATTCCTCTGTTAACTTGATTCTCACCTCACCCACCTCACATGTCACCCTGTCTGTCTCCTCTGCCTTGCCAACCACACAAAGTCCTGCTCTACCAGACTTTGTGATGACTCAGTCTTCTCCCATCCTCCCTGCTTCTAGTATTCTCTGACCCCTTTTCTTACTTATTGTAGGTCATCTTGTCTTGGATCTAGCCCAAGCCCGGTCCACACTGGTGTTGCCTACTGGCCTTGTTGCTGCAGCTGGTACCATGACAGTGACCCTGTGCAGCAGCCGGGAGTTGCCCTCCAGGCCTGATGGGGTGATGCATGTGGCCCTGCCCACTGTGTTCACCCCACTGGCCCAGCCAGGCCTGCCAGGGTCCCCCAGGTCTCCGGGGCTCTGTGACGACAGGTTGGGCCTATGGTGATTCTCTTCATCCCTCCCTCAACTTCTCTGGGTCTAGTGAGGGTGAGGGGCCTCGGGAGATTGACAGAGTGAAGGGTGGTGGTGAAGCAGCCCGAAGAGCTGCCTTCACAGTAGCCCATAGCCTCTTTATGCTCCCTTCTAGCCCCACTGGCTGCTTTGGGGTAGGCAGCCCTGAGGAGGAAGGACTGACCTGGGAGCAACCAAGTGCCCCTCCAGACGTGTTCTCAGGCCCTGCCCACTGTCCTGCTCCATATACCTTCTCCTTCGAGATGCTGGTGACTGGGCCATGTCTGTTGGCTGGTAGGTGTATCTGGCCTAGCCTAGCCACCCTACTCAGTGTGGCAGACTGGGAAATCATTCACCACAGAGATAAACAGAAGACAGAGACCTGTCTTAGGAGCCTCTAATTAGTGTTTGTAGTCTTGCTTGCTTGCTTGCTTGCTTGCTTGCTTGCTTGCTTGCCTGAGACAGGGTCTTATATAGTCCAGGCCAGTCTCAAACTTGTTATGTAGCTAAGAATGACCTTGCACTCCTGATCCTCCTGCCTCTACTGCCTGTGCCAGACTGGCTCCCACACTATTTTTTATCAGTGTAATTCATTTATATTCTCTCCATTTACCCATGTCAAGTGTGATACTTCACAGTGGCAGTGGTCCAAGTAACAGAGTAGATTTTCTTTGTGCAAGAGGTGGTAGGGGGAAGATGCTGATTGAATATGTGACCCTCTGACCAGCTCGAGCACAGAACTAGGAACTCATACTCTAGCCCTTGTAAGCACATGCATCCTTTCTGGGCTGTATAAGCCTGCAGATTAGATTTGGGACACAGCTAAATCAGCCACAATGCCTGCCTGTAACCACCATTATCTGGAAAGTCAGTACCTGTGCTCTTGGGGCCTTGGGTGAAGTGACTTTGACTTGTCATTACCTCTGTGTTCCTCAGGCCTGGAGAGCCCCTCTCATGCCCTGCGTGTGGATGCCCTCCCTCATGCCAGCTCTGCAGCCACTATCTGTGTCACACTGGCAGAAAGCCATCAGTGTGATCGGGCCTTGGAGATCTTGTTGCACCCCAGTGGTGAGATGGGGCATGTAGTGGGCCACCTCTGGCATGCTTATGAATGACGTGGGAAGCAGTTTTCAGTTACAGTTAGAACCCCAGGCAAGATGGACAAGGTCATCTCAGAGTTTGGCCCTGGAGGCAGAGAGGCTGGAGCCTCAAGGGTCCTCTGAAGACAGAGGGCTGGCAGTTGGGGTTCAGAGGCAGGGACTACTTGACAGGGCCGTGTCTTCTTTTCAGAACCCCATCAGCCACACTTGATGCTGGAGGCTGGCAGCTTGAGCTCAGCAGAGTATGAGGCCCAAGTGAGGGCCCGCCATGACTTTCAGAGACTGCAGCGAAGAGACAGTGATGGAGAACGGCAGGTATGGCTATGAGCTCAGGCTTCGGTGCTGGCTAAAACTGCATGTGAAAAGCAGGCAGCTGGATCCATGTCAGGATGAGTGGAGCCTGTGTTCTCAGTATGCTCTCTCGGTAGTGCCCACCATCACAGAGGGTAACCAATAGTCCTGGGAAGCCCTGCATGAATCCTGAGAAAGGTCTCTGAGGGCGGAGGCAGATCTAACAGACAGACAACAGCCATGATGTCATTCAGTTGCTACAAAAAAGAGCCCCTTTAGGTGAATCGGACAGAAAAAGGCCCCAAGGCTGGATCCCACACCCTACCCAGACGGACGAAGCTGCACTGGGCCTGCCTTAGACTAACTCAGGCTCCTGTGCTCAGGTGTGGTTCCTGCAGCGACGTTTCCATAAAGACATCTTGCTGAACCCTGTGCTGGTGCTGAGCTTCTGCCCAGACCTGAGCTCCAAGCCCGGACACCTGAGTGCAGTGACTCGGGAGCTCCTCTTCCTGTTGGATGGCAGCTGTGCGGTCCACAAGGCCTGTGGGGATCAGTGTGTGGGCATGGGTGGGACTTCGCAACAGTCTGGGGTAGGCTGTGGCAACCTCTTGAAGTCAGGGGTTCCCTTGTTGCTTAACATGCTATCTACCAAAGAGGGGCCAGACTCTACCTTTGCATATTTATACCTACACCGGGGTCACTCCCAGATTCCAAGAGCCACTCTTTTTGTTTTGGTTTGGTTTTTGAGACAGGATCTCCATATAAAGCTTGGCTGTCCTGGAACTCACTATGTAGACCAGGCTTGTCTTGAACTCACAGAGATTTATCTGGGATTAAAGGCGTATGCCACCATCCCTGGTGCTCAAGAGTCTCTCTTATCCACAGGTCATACTCTGAAGGCAGACACAGGGACAAAAGCTTCACACTTACATACTCTAGCAGAGAGTCCCACACCCAAATGTCTCGAATATACTTCAAGGCTCCCTTATGTTCTCAGGGATCACTCCTCATATGCTCCAGGCTCCTCTCACATTCCCTCAGCCAGCCCCCTGTTTAATTATAGCCTAGAGAAGATAAACAATCTGGTGTGCCTTGTTCTCTACCATGCCTCTCATGCTTTTCAACCTGGCTTTCCCCAGGATGCCATTGTTTTGGCTGTAAAATCCCTCCCAGCTCAGACACTTGTCAACCTAGCCACGTTTGGGACATTGGTGCAGCCACTCTTCCCTGAGAGCCGGTCCTGCAGTGATGTGAGTATGATCAGGCTTTGGGGGCTTCATGAAGATGCTTCAGCCCACCCCCGTCCAGCCTAAGCCTTTTCTCTCCAGGATGCTGTGCAGCTGATGTGTGAGAGCCTTGAGACTCTTCAGGCTGTGAGTGGTCCCCCGGATGTGGTGGCTGCATTGGATTGGGCCTTAGGGCAACCCCAGCACAGGGCCCATCCCCGACAGCTGTTCCTCATCACTGCTGCCTCACCAGTGGCTGCCACTACCCACCAAGCCCTGGAGCTCATGAGGTGGCACAGAGGGGTGGCCAGGTATGGAGTGGGCAGGTGTAACTTGCTAAGATCGACACTGCTAAGATACTCCTGAGTGTCACAGCTGCTCCCCTTTCCTGTCAGGTGCTTCTCCTTTGCTTTGGCACCTGCCTGCCACCAGCTGCTCCACAGCTTGTCTGTCCTCAGCAGGGGACAGGCCTACTTCCTGAGGCCTGGGGAGAGATTGCAGCCTAAGGTGAGTGTGAGCCTGTGCTCTGCTTACCTCCTCCAGGAGGTCTTTCTCCAGAGGTACACATGGAATCTGAAACAGCCTGGCACTCTCACAGGAACTTCCTTCTAGTCAGTCTCTCTACCTAAGAAACCAACAAGGAGAACTATTGATGCTACTAGGAGAGAGGCTGAGGAAGGTTAGAGGTATGAGGACATGTAGCCTCTGGCCAGCCCCTGAATCTTACTGCTATGACCTGAAAGGAGCATCATCTTCAAGTCTGTTTAGCCATGTCACAAAGCTCAGACCAGGAGACAGACCAAGCCCTGAGACTGAGCCCTCAGTTCCTTTGCTTGAGTATATCCCACCTCCTTCTCCTGACCCCATCAGCACAGGGCTCCCAGAGGACACTGGGAGAAAGGCAGCCTGCCTGCTCTGTTTGTGACATCCCTTTCTCCTCCATGCCCCCACCCCCATGTCCTTTGTCACCCCTTGCAGCTGGTGCAGGCTCTGCGAAAGGCACTGGAACCTGCTTTGAGTGACATTTCCGTGGACTGGTTTGTACCTGATGCTGTGGAGGCCCTGCTGACCCCCCGGGAGATCCCAGCACTCTACCCTGGGGACCAGCTGCTTGGCTACTGCTCACTTTTCAGGGTGGATGGCTTCCGGTCCTGTGCTCCAGGGGTAGGACTGAGCTGGGGTTTGCTAGGTGGGCCTGCAGGGGCTGGGGTCCTTTGCCTCCTTCCCTGTCACTCTTTCTTTCTGGGTTTTTGAGACATGGACTTCCTTCCTATGATATATATGTGTGTGTGTGTGTGTGTGTGTGTGTGTGTGTGTGTGTGTGTGTGTGTGTGTGTTTTGCCTGCATGTATATCTGTAAGAGGGTATAGGGTACCCTGGAACTGGAGTTAACACCATAACACCATAAGCTGCCATATGGGTGCTGGGAATTGAACCTGGGTCTTCTGGTAGAACCAGTGTGAGACAGGGTTTCTCTATGTAGCCCTTGGCTGTTCTGAAACTTGATCTGTAGATCAGGCTGGCCTTGAACTCACAGAGATCCACCTGCCTCTGCCTCTAGAGTACTGGGATGAAAGGTGTGCATTTCCACTGCCTGACTCATTCTTTTTAGCATTTTTTAAAAAGTTACATTTACTTGTTTATTTATGTGTGTCTAAGTGTACACATACATGTATATCCTTTCAGTGGTGCATAATATGGAGGGCAACTTGTGTGAGTTGGGCTTTTCTATCTACCATGTGGGTCATGAGGCTTGAACTTAGGCTGTCAGGCTTGGTGGCAAGCACCTAAAATGACTTTACACAGTACCTTTTGGAAAGCACCACCTGGCTTGGAGAGATGGCTCACCCATTGAGAGCACTTGTTTTTGTAGAAGACCCAGGCTCAGTTTCTAGCATCCACATGGTGGCTCATAGCTATCCATAACTCCAGTTCCAAGGGATCTGACCCCGTCTTGTGACCTTGGGCACTAGGCACACACATGGTGCAGAGGCATACATACATGCAAAAGCCTCATAAACATGAAATGAAATTTGAAAGTCTTTTTAAAAGCAAGCAAGCACTGCCTGGCCACTTCTGGTAACACTTGCTGATAGACAAGCTCATGTGGTGCTGCCTCCTGTTCCACTGTGTTACCTTCTGGCTATTTGATTTAAGTCACTTAACCTCTCTGAGCCCACTGCTCCCCATGTAAATAATGCAGCTTTCTGTTTTGTCTGAGATTTATTTTACTTTATTAGTGTTTTGCCTGCCTATATGTATGTGCTCCCCATGCATGCCTGGTGCCCTTGGAGGTCAAAGGAAGGTATCAGATCCCCTGGAACTGGAGTTACAGAGGGTTGTGAGCTGTCATGTGCATGCTGGGAACTAAACCCGGGTCTTCTACAAGAACAAGCGCTCTTAACCGCTGAGCCATCTTTCCAGCCACAAATGTGTGCTATAGGTTACTGTGAAGCCAGGACTTGATCGCTCTTGGCTGGATACTTAGCACACAGTAGGGCTTTGAGATGTCGCTATTATGAAAATCCCTCTCTAGAGGAACTATGCACACTTCCACCTGTTTGATTATGAGTGTCACATAACAGACTGTTTGCCCTTTGCCAGGTGGCCAGGAAGTTCAGGGCCAAATCGGAGGTTCAGCTTTATAGCAGCCTTATCACCATCAAGGTTAACATGATGGTTTTTTACTTATTGCCTGCATGTCTATTTGAGGGTATTGGATCCTCTGGAACTGGAGTTACAGACAGTAGTGAGCTGCCATATGGGTGTTGGGAATTTAACCCAGGTCCTTTGGAAGGGCAGCCTGTGCTCTTAATGGCTGAGCCACCTCTCCAGGTCCTTTTTAAAATTTTTATGAATGTGTTGCTTGCACCTATATATGTACACCACGTGTGAGCCTGGTACCTGTGGAGGTCAGAAGAGGGTGTCAGTTCCTCTGAGATTGGGATGGTTATGAGCTACCATGTGCATGCTGGGAATCAAACATGAGTCCTCTATAAGACTAGTACATGCTCTTAATCATAGAGCCAACACTCCAGCCTCCTGTTTTCTTCTTAAACATTTTTTTTTTTTTTTTTTTTTTTTTTTTTTTTTTTTTTTTTTTTTGAGATAGGTTTTTTTCTGTAAAATAGTCCTGGCTGCCTGGGAACTTGCTCTGTGAGTTAGCCTTGAACTCACAGATATCTTACCTGTTCCTGAATGCTGAGATTACAGGTGTATGCCACTACTGCCTGGCATATTTTAATTTTTTTATTAAAATGTAATCACATCACTTCTTCCCTTCTATTTCCTCTCTCCAACCCCTCCAATATCCCCCTTTACTCCCCCTCAAATTGATGGCGTTTTTCTTTACTGTTATATGCTTATATGTGCATAACTATATAAATACAACCTTCTCAATTTGTTTAAGTTGTTGTGCAGGGGACCTATTGCTAGGAGAGACTGGCTTTCCCTCTCAGTGGTTGTTAGTGGCCTGGAGTTCTTTGTCTAGGAGCAGGAACTGGCATATGATTTCTCCCTTCTTCACTAGAATTGGCATTAGTATTGTCATTGTTCAGGTCTTCTTTAAGCAGCCATATTGAGCCATCATGGACAGGATAGCTTTCCTGTCATTTCTAGAAAATACGATGGTTAATGTGTTATAATAATAAGTAGAAGGCGTTTAAGACATTATTACACTTTTATTTACTGGAGTGTGTGTGAATGTATGCATGCCATAACATTCTTGTGGAGGTCAGAAGACAACTTTGTACATGCAGTTCTCTCTTTATACCTTTACACTGGTTCCAGGGCTCAAACCTAAGTGGTCAGGTTTGTACAGAAGGTGCCTTCACTCATTGAGCCATTTCATTGACCCTTGTTTCTTGTTAGCCTTTACTTGCTATAACTTAGCATTATTCTTGAAACTGGATGTAGAGGTGCACACCTTTAATTCCAGCACTGAGGAGACAGAGGCAGGTGGATCTCTGTGAGTTTGAAGCCAACCTGGTCTACATAGTGAGTTCTAGGATATTGGAAAAAGGTATTAATTAGTATAATTTTCCCTCACTTCATTTTCCCCAGGGCCAACAGCCTGGTTGGCAGAGCTTGGGCGGTTCAGTGTTTCCATCTCCAGAGGAGGCATTATCTGTCACCAGCCCTGGCACTGAGCCCACACATACCACAGAGCCACTGAGAACAGGCACTGTGTCAGCAGAGCTGTCGAGCCCATGGGGTGTAGGCAACTCAGAGCAGAGTGAGTACCCTCTGGCATATGTTTGTAGGTGTGTTGAATAGGGCAAACAGAAGGGCCAGAGCTGGGCCCATTCTCCCCTTTCCAGCAGGCATGGAAATTCTGACAGACCCAGTCACAGAACCTGGACCCAATCCGTCCTCTGACACAGCTATATGGCGTCGCATCTTCCAGTCTTCATACATCCGGGAGCAGTATGTGCTTACCCACTGCTCTGCCAGCCCTGAGCCGGGCCCAGGCTCCACTTGCAGCAGTGAGTCCCCAGGTTCCCAGGGCCCTGGCTCCCCCAATGGTAGCCTCCCCCGGGATCCCCCTTCTCAGCAGGGCTGCCGAAGCCTGGCCTGGATAGAACCTGCGGGCTCTCGCTCTTGCCCCCTGCCTGTATCCCCACCAGCTCCATTCAAGGTGAGATTTAGCACACATTCATCTATCTTGTATCCAGCAAACATTTGTTTACCATCTGCTATGTACATTGTTTATTATTAAGTAGCTAGAGAGATAGATGGGTAAATCTACATCTATGATGTCACAACCAGTAATGAACACAGGGTCATGGTATTATGGGTGCTCAGAGTCAGAATGGCTGCTATTGGAGGGAGTTAGAAAAGTAAGCTATGCCAAGGAGAAGTAAGTTAAAAGACAAGAGATTCTTGTATATAGAAACAACCTGAAGTGGGAAATACAGTTAGATGACATAGAATCATGGACAGCTGCCAAGTTTATGATGGCCAGAAACTAATTTCTTAACTAGTGACTTTTTACGTCTCACACACAGGTGGGAGCCTTGAGCACTGAGGTGCTAGGCCGTAGGCACAGAGCAGCTCTGGCTGGGCGAAGTCTCTCATCTCCCTCAGGACAGACAAACCCAGTCCCTGGTAGACCCCGGCATCCCTCTCTAGATGCAATACCAGATGGAACAGGCCCCGAGCCAGGACAACAGCTGGGTCAGGGCATAGATGATTCAGGTAAGGGTTGGATGGGAAACTGGGTTTCTGATGCCAGCTGTGGGGATGTGGAGCACAGTGCATGGTGTTGCCTATATCCCTGGCATCTCTCCCCAGGAAACCTGCTCTCCCCAGCCCCCTTGGACTGGGATATGTTGATGGAACCATCTTTCTTATTCAAGGCTATGCCACCCAATGGGGAATCAGCCTCTGCAGCAGAGCCTCTGCCTCCCCAGGCGCCACATTGTCATGTGGTGATCAGGGCCCTGTGTGGGGAACAGCCAATGTGCTGGGAGGTGGGTATAGGGCTGGAGGAGCTCTGGGAACCTGGGGATGGCTCACAGCCTGCAACAGAAGCTGCATGGAATCAGGCACTCCACCGGCTGACGGCAGCCTCTGTGGTGCGGGACAACGAACAGCTGGCTCTCCGTGGAAGGGCAGAGTCCACAGCTGAGCAGGGTAAGTTGCTAATAGACACAGCTCAGGCACAAAGGCTTGGAAGAGAACATAGTGAAAGTATAGTTCTATGTGTTAAATCACTCTTCCTTACTTTGTCACAAAAGATTTGAGGGAACTCAACCACAATGACAAGATAAGAAGTTTTGAAGAGTAATGAGAAAAAGTGAAAATAAAGGAAACTAGGGCTGCAGAGATGGCTTAGTGATTAAGAGTACTGGCTGCTCTTCCAGAGGACCCAGGTTCAATCCCCAACACCCACATGATGACTCCAATTCTAGGGGATCCAACACCCTCTCTGGTCTCTATGTGCAGTAGTGTATACATAGTACAAAGACACAGGTGCAGGCAAAACACCCACATACACAAGACAATAATAAAAACTAATAATGGTAAAAGAAAATAAAGTAGGGAGTGGTGGTACATGCTGTCAATCCCAGCACTAGGGAGGCAGAAGCTGGAGGATCTCTGTGAGTTGGCAGCCAGCCTGGTCTAAAAAGCTACACAGAGAAACCCAGTCTCAAAAACAAAAAAAAAAAAACAAAATAAAATAAAGGAAATATAAGGCATATTACAAGATATATACAGCTCTTACAAGCATAGGACTCCACACTGGGAAGCTTCCTAGCAGCCAAAATGGAAGGCAGCATGATCTTTCAATAAACAGTGACTACAACATGAAAATAAATCTTCCATTCAAGGATACTATTAAAATCCAAATTAAAATCTCGGTTCCTCACTGTCCCTGGCCACACTGTAAGTACCCAACAGTCACAGGAGGTTCCTGATTACCATGCTGGATTGTGCAGACAGAACTTGAGAACTTGTCATACTTGCAAACAGCTTTGGACAGCACTGAAATGAGTGGTGGACAGTGTGCATTGCGCTGGGTGTCAGGGCGCATGTTTGAAACCCTAGCAGTCGGTAGGCTAAGGTAAGAAGAGTGAGTTCTGAGCCAACCTAGGTTACATAAGACCTTGTCAAAAGTAAAGAGCCTCCCTGAAGTCCCTGGGGTGGCCATCCAATACCCTTGGGTACTCTAAAGCTTGCCTGTGCCCAGCCTCCTCCCTACATGTCAATCACACACCACACACACACACACACACACACACACACACACACACACACACACAAGTAATTGCAACACCATGAAAGCAAAGGCAGGGCAATCCCTCTAGACTACCAAATTTAGGAGCTACTAGGGGGTCCTGGTCCTAGGTTGAAGATTCAGCCTATTTCTTGTCAGAAGAGCTATGGTCTGGACCATCCTTGGCCATTCATTCTCTGTTAAAAGGGGACCAGAAGCTGTGGGAACATTCTGGTTAGTTTTGAGACAGGGTCTCACCCTGTAGCCCTGGCTGGCCTGGAACTCAGATGTCAGCCTGACTTGACTTCTTGAATGCTGGGATAACACCACCTTTGGCTTCCCAGTATTTTTTCTGCAGCTTTCTATAGATGGTAGAGTTAAGTATGCCACTGGCTTTGATTCACAGGCCGAGTCAGAAGGTCCTGGCTTCGAGCCGTTCAGACAAGCAAGGCCAGCTCTGCTCCATCCCACTTTACCTGCCCTGTTGCTGTAGATGCTTCCACTAGGGAGGTCTTGCCCGGAGGCCTGCAGGTGTGGAGTTCAGGTACAAGACTTCCCTGTGACCTTGAGGGTGTGACCCTCAGCTTGCTGGCTACCCAGTGGGACAGACTCCTGTATTCCTGCAGATCCAGATGAGCTCTCAGGTATTTCTGCCTCTCAAGACCATCTAGCTGCAGCTCCTCTGCCCACAGAAGCCCCCTCTAAAGGTATGGCTCAAATGCAGTGGGTTGGGCACAAGTAGGCTTGAGGCCTTTTGCTGGTATTGGGTGACCCTACTGTAGGGCATCAGGAAGGCTCTTCTGCAGGTGCCTGGAACATGGATCTAAATGACAACTCCAAGTCAGCATTGGGGGGGCCCATATCTCCTACTGGAGGTCATCATGGCTTGCCCCACCAGCCTTCAGTATCTTCCAGGCTCAGCCTGGGTCATCACCGCAGACTCTGCAGCTCCAACAAGGGCCAGGCTAGTGAGAGCAGCAGTGATGGCAGCAACCACGACTACCTGCCTTTGGTGAGGACTGGGGAGGTGGAGGGTGGCACCCCTGGAGCCAGAGCTCTGTCTTAGCTCCCTTCTCCCCCCACCTCTTCTCTCCTCAGGTGCGATTACAAGAGGCACCAGGCTCCTTCCGCCTGGACGAACCCTTCTGTGCAGCCGTGTGCATTCCTCAAGAACGCCTGTGCCGAGCTTCCCCCTTTGCTGCACACCGTGCCAACCTCAGCCCCACCTCAGCCTCATCTCCTTGGGCACTTCTGGGCTCTGGTATTGGCCAGGGTGACAGTGCCACAGCTTCCTGCAGCCAGTCCCCCAGCTCAGGCTCTGGGGGTCCAGGCCAGATTGACAGTGGACGGGGCTCAGATACTGAAGTCTCAGAAGGAATGGAAAGGCATGGCAGCTCTGATCTGCGGGGCCGCACCTGGGCCACGGCAGTGGCCCTGGCATGGTTGGAGCACCGCTGCGCAGCTGCTTTTGGTGAGTGGGAACTGACAGCATCCAAAGCTGATTGCTGGCTGAGGGCCCAACACCTGCCTGATGGCCTTGATCTGACTGCTCTCAAAGCTGCTGCCCGGGGGCTCTTTCTGTTACTGAGACACTGGGACCAGAATCTGCAGCTACACTTGCTGTGTTACAGCCCTGCAAATGTGTAAGGTTGCCCGCAGCTCTGGCTAGCGACCCCCGACACAGTCACTGCCACCCAGGGCCAGTCTCTTGGTGCTGGGGAAGAAAAGTCGGTGTCGGCTGCCCTCCACTGCTTTAGTTGCTTCCCCAGAATACTCTGCCACCACAGAAAGTGCCTGCTCTCTTCTCTCTCCCTCATCATACCCCCTCCCATGTGCTGAGCTCTCTATAGGATAATGGAAGAGGAGAGAGCTACAGCCCCAAATCCTATACAATAAAGTGCCTCTTAAGACTGCCTGATGAGTTTTATTTATTTATTTTATTTTTTGGCAATTGCCAAGACAAGGTTTCTCTGTGAAACAGTCCTAGCTGTCCTAGAACTCAACTCTGTAGACCAAGTTAGCCTCGAACTTTCAGAGATTCGCCTGCATTTGCCTCCCGGGTAGGTGCTGGGATTAAAGGCATGAGCCACCACTGTCTGGTACCTGATGAGTTTTAATCTGTTGGGAAGATGTGCCTCATAGCATCTAGGCACAAGATGGTCTAGGTATGAGCAACCACTACCTTTATGTCAGCTGCACAAAGGTGGACTTGGCAAAGTTTATTCTAAGAACACAGAGGCCATTCCACCCATGATCCTGGGCAGGTCCTAGAAGGATGAGGTGGGTTTTAGTGCGTTTTCCTGCTAGTCTGGATGCTCTTGGGGAAAGGCTGAGGGGACAGCCAGAGCTGCAGCAGGATGACAGCATGGCATATGTGTAGGGAGGCAGAACTGAAGGATGTGGATGGATACGTGTTCCAGGAAAGCTCAATGAGTCCCAGCACCAGCAACCTGGGAATGAGAAATGGATCTTATCCGTTTCAAGGCCTGAAGCTCTTGAACTTCTCAACCCTAGACCCACCATCCTCTTCTAGGGTCATGGCTTTGGGAGGAGGAATTCCCTAGCCCTTTCCCACTCTCCCAGGTTGTCCCTGCCAGTACCTGAGCAGGTGTGTGAGCCAGCGTGCAGGCATGGCCCACAGGAGGTAGGGCAGTGTGTGGAAATACCAGACATAAAACTGGTAGTGGAGGGAGCGGCTAAAGCAGATGCCAATGAAGTTGGAGGTGAAGAGGGTAGAAACAATCTGTAATATGGTGGTTAAGGCTTTGGGCAGGAATTGAGGGGGCGGTGATGGATAAGGATTCAAAAAGAGGGGCAAAAGTTCTGGGGTCAGAAAGTACCCTGCCCTGGCTCTGCCATTCCCACACGCATGCCCCAGACAAACTTCTTAGCCTCTCTTGATCTGTCCCTCAGTTTAGTAGAGGGACAGGAATGCTTCCTTCGGTAAAATTAATCTGAGTACCTCCCCACCTCAGATAGATTTTACAGGCTAGGAGGTACAGACTCTTAGACAATACCAAGAACGTAGAGTTAGGAATAACCTGTGCTGAGATGTGTAAGGTGCTCAGTGCAGTGCTTGCTGGAGAGGGCAGGCTCTATGAATGGGCTCCTGTCTCTTCCAAAGTGGCGGGCTACCTAAGGCCAACAGACTAAGCCTCGATCTGCATTTGGACAGATCACAACTTACCTTTCCAAGATTTAAAGGATATGGTTAGGTGTGAGGGGTTGGGGTGGGAATTTCCTTTTGGAAGGATCCTTCAGCAGCGACAGAATATTCTCCCCCGTTCTGAAAAGAAGTCATTCAGATATTTAGCAAGCCCCAATTGTGTGCCAAATTCCAGATCAACCATCATGAACTTTACATCTCCCCCAAGTAGCTCTTGAGGCCTAAGTTCTTCACTCCATCCCCTGAATCTTCCCATAAAAGTAACCCTTGTTTCTTACCTGTGCCACCTACAGAGGGCAAACAGCAAGAGGAGGGTGAGATGGGCAGCCAACAGGGCCAGATGGAAGGCCCGATGCAGGAAGATGGCCTCAGGAAGGAAACGCCAGTTCACTGTCCATTGGAAGAGAAACTGACGGCCAAGGTCAAAGGAGCGGGATAGGTAGCCAATGGGGTTCTCCAGCAGGAAGGGCAGTCCCAGTATCACCTGAGGATGGGTGTGATGCTAGTAGAGCTGCTAAGGATGACCCCAGCCTTCAGGGTAATCTCTTGGGAGAGCACAGTGGGATAGAATCCCCCAGAAGCTTTTGTATTCCTCCAGGAGGTATCAGGAAGCCTCCTACTACCACTCCCCATCAGAGCCTGACACCACAGTAACATAGGAGGTGATCACACTGCCTTCCTCAAGAATTCACCAGATCGTGTGTGTGTGTGTGTGTGTGTGTGTGTGTGTGTGTGTGTGTGTGTGTGTCGGGAGAGAGAAGTATTTAGAGAGAGAATTTCCCTATATATCCCTGGCTGGCCTGGCACTTGCTATGTAGACCAGCCTGGCCTTGAACTCAGATCCACTGTCTCTGTCTCCCAAGTGCTAGGGTTAAAGATGTATGCCGCCATGCCCAGTTGCTTCACAAGGTCTTAAGCAGGCAGCTTTAGGAAGCCTCTCAGAGGCCTACCAAATTCGGTAGCCATGAAACCTAAAGCAGAGACAGTAGCTGCCCAGTTCAGAATCAACTCCAAACTCTTGTCTACTGTCTTTGAGGAAGCCTTAACAGATTTAAGGAGACCTGAAAGGGGAGGATGAAGAGGTACCTGAATGGCAGCACAGATGGCCAACTTGGGGAGGGCACCACGGAAGCCAAACTGAGTAAGGAGAAGGAATAGCAACCCAGGAGCGAAGAGTAGCACATTCATCTTCACAGAGACGGCCAAGCTGAAATGGACAACGGAGGGGAAGGTGTAGAGTCAGCTCCAGGACTGATCCTCCCCATATACGCCCTCCCCAAAGGTTTCTTTCCCCAGGCCAGGAGGCACCAGGATGTGGGCCCCATCCAGAACTGGTAGAGGGACATAAGATAGCCCTTGAGGAGGCTGGGAGGAAGGGAATGACACTTATTCCCTGTATTCAGACTAACACATACTGAGTAACATATTTACAATGTTCAAGGGCCAACTCCAACAATGGATGCCACTGGGGACAAGATGGGATGAAAGTACGGGGAAAGAGGGACTTCCTACAGATCTTGGACTTGTTCAGGGAGGCCCAGAATGACCTCCATTATCTAAACACTCTTTATGCCCTTTGCCAGAAGGGAGAGGCACTGACCTGAAGCAGCAGCAGCCCCAGCCCCAGTAGTGTGCCAGGAAGAGGTTGATGCTTAGGAAGAGCAATGCCATAGCCACTGGGTCATTGAAGAGCCGTAGTACAAAGATGGAATGGACACGGTAAGAGGCACAACACATGAAGAAAAAGACGAAGGGAGGTACCTAAAGGGTGAGCACCAAGGTCAGCTCCCCGAACCTGAGTCATCTCCATCGCCCACTTCAGGCCTGAGCCAGGTGGTCCTATAGCATAGACTCACCTTGGAAGTCTGGTGGTATATCAAGAAAACGAGCAGCAAGTTGACAAGGTAGAGCACAGCAAAGATGTTCTGGGCCATGGGGATGTCAGTGCCCTGGCCAGTTGCATAGTACAGCACCATAAAGGTATACACAAAACCAGCGGGGTAGCTGGAAAATGAAAGGGAACATGAGCCTAGGCCAAGGCAATCAGCTTGGTACCCTCCCAGTCCATCACAATCTCCTCAAACCCCTATTCTCACTCACACAAGAGGTCCAGTGTCACCCTTTAGCTGTGTGTAGTCATATGTGCCATTGATGACACCCTCCACCTGGGCCATGTAGGCTTTCCAGTCAATCTCTGTGTCTGAAAGAAGATACCATGATCTAGTTACTTGTGAGTGCAGAACTTGCCAGCCTCTAACCCCCATGCCTTCAGACCACAAAGAGTTCTTATTCCTAGGTCCTTCTTCCATTACTATCCCTTATCTAACTGCACATGGTGCATTCTGTGTGTGTGTGTGTGTGTGTGTGAAGGCCAGGGCTTGACATTTAGTGTTTTCCTCCATCACTTTCTACCGTGTGTGTGTGTGTGTGTGTGTGTGTGAGACGCATGCATGCATGTATACACATATATGCCATCATATGTCAGAGTCTAGCTAGTCAGTACCTGCTAAGCTGTCCCCTTACGATCTTTCTTCCTACTCCAAACTTACTCTCCTTCATGGGTTCCTTGAATAGTACAATACATTTCTCTCCTTTTCAGTTCTTCTTTTTTTTTTGGGGGGGGGTTGTTTTTTAAGACAGTGTTACTCTGTGTAGCCCTGGCTGTCCTGGAACTTTCTCTGTAGAACAAGCAGGCCTGGCCTCAAGTTTAGAGAGCCACTTGTCTCTGCCTCCTAAATCCTGGGATTAAAGATATACACCACTATTGCCTGGCTTCCTTCCTAGTTTTGTTTTGTTTTTCCCCAGTGACTTATTTATTTTTATTTTATGTGTACTGGAGTTTTGCCTGTATGTATTTCTGTGTTAGGGTATCAGATTCCCTGGAGTTGGGAGTTACAGACAGTTGTGAGATGCCATATTGGTATTAGGAATTGAACCTGGGTCCTCTAGAAGAGCAGTTAGTACTCTTAACCACTGAGCCATCTCTCCAGCCCTTCTTTTCATTTCTTAAAAAGAAACAGACTTACACACACTCTTTTGTGTGTTCATATGCACATGTATGGGCGCACATATATGTGGGTGTGTATGCATGTATGTGTACATAAGTGTGGAGGCTAGAAGTTAATGCTATCTTTCTTGAATACTCCTCTCATTAAAACAACAATAAAAAAACCCTAGGGTCTTTATGAAGCCAGCTATGGTGCCCACCTTTAATCTCAACACTTAGGAGTCAGAAGCAGGCAAATAGATCTATGTAGATATCTGTGAGTTTGAGGCCATCCTGGTCTACATGGCAAGTTCTAGGGCAGTTTAGAACTATAGTGAGAGCGGGGTTTTTTGTTTTGTTTGTTGTTTGTTTTATTTTGCTTTTTAAAAGTAGACTGATCCTGGAAAAAAGACACCAGTAATACCTAATGGACTCAAGTGGACACAAAATTCTTCAGTCTTCTAAAGGACTTTCAAGACACATGAATTAAATGCATGAAAAAACCAGATCTGGATCTGGGAGAGGGAAATGACTGTCTAAGGACACAGACAAGCAACAGCAAATTAACTTTGGTCAAAACTGACTTCCAGGCGGCTTATGTTTTCTTAGCAGGCTGGATTTTAAAAGCAGAGGGCAGTCTCTAGGATCACCTCCTTCCGTTTGGGATAGGGATTATGATCACTTTTCTGGAAAGCGGGCTTGGGGTTCGGATAAAGAATATGGGTTTGAATGATGAATGAATGTTCAGTAATCTAGTATGCGTCAAGGGTTCGGGTCTCCCTCCCTCCCTCCAGTTCGCTCCCCTTTAGTGAACTCACATGCCACCCTGTGAATGACCCAGAAGGTGATGCCCACCTCTGCTAGGCAAAGGCAGGAGGCCACCAACAGTGTGTAGCGTGGCTCCCGCAGCAGAAGGCGGCATTCTTGCCAGGCCCGCCGTAGCCATTGTTTCCAGAGTCCCGCCGGCTGGGAGACAGAACCCGGCGGGCCGCGTTTCCGCAGCCCCGCAGCCATCTTGACGGTGCGCCACTCTGTGGTCCCACCACCCGGGAAAACCAACCCTGAGACACTAGGTTCCGCTCCCCGCCCTGGGCATCCTCTCAAACTAAACGCTGATCCGAGTAACAGAAATCCTTGTTTATTCCATTGCAGTTTATTCCTTCTAACCGGGCGTAGGGCGTCAGAGTTTCTAGCTAAAAATTGTTCACTGCGTACATATTTAGTGCCTATTTTATGCAGTGGTGAGAGATATTTGCCCCGAATAAAAATAAGATAGCTTAGAACTCATCTCCTTTAGAGGACTACACGCTGTTGTATTAAGAATATTCACACACTTCTCGGCGTATGTACCGTACAGAGCACGTGAACGCTAATGTGTCAGAATCTTTGCCCAGAAAATAACAGTTCAGGCCTCTTTTCCAAGCCCCGTTTTCCACTTAGCCTGTGTCGAGAGTCACTGTGTTCACGGTAGAGGGCAGAGCTACTTTCTGCGTTCCTTCCGCCTTCCTTCGGGTGATCCAATCGTCTCGGGAAGGAAATTTTAATTAATCAGGTTTCTTAATGGAAAGGGCTGTTGAAACCGAACACGAGAGGACCCAGTGGTGAGCCTGGGTGAGTCTGACGCGAGGAATAGTGGTCGAGTCGTGATGGATAGCACGTTAAGGAACCAAGCAATTCAGCTTTCCAGCCGGAAGACTTTCAAAACAGAGCTTAGAAGATGACGGAAGTTCCACGTGTTCGTGGAGAGCAGCTGCAGGGGAGGGCGGAGTCACAGGCTCCTCCTCCCGGATTTTGCCTCGGCGATTGGGCTCCTAAGCCCCGCCCTGGCTGCTGCGCAGCCCAGAGCATGGCCTCTCCCCGGCCTTCGGTGTCCTCTCCGGACTTACCCGAGCGGAACTTGCAGTACCGCGAAGTTCAGTATTGGGACCAGCGCTACAAAGATGCGGCCGACTCTGGCCCCTACGAGTGGTTCGGGGACTTCGCTTCCTTCCGTGCTCTCCTAGAGCCGGAGCTGTGTCCTGAGGACCGTATCCTCGTGCTAGGTGGGTAGTCCCGGTGCTGTCCCAGCCAGGGGTCACTGGCCAGACCTCATCCGCTTTCTTCCCTTCTGCTTTCACCTGTACGAGGATACCCAGGTTCGGAGCCAAGACTCGGTCGGTACCTTCACAGAAATAAGAGATCGCCAGTACTCTGGAAAAAGTGTCTCAGCGAGGGGTATGGCCCGGTTCCAGACACTAGAGGCAGTCTTAGGACGCCCGAGAGCTCATCTCTGTGAACCTACTTCAAGTACCAACATAACTGACTATGTTTAACCTAGGACAAGTCTTGGGTCCATTGTGTGCTTCATTTTCCATTTCTAGAAATGGGATTGTGATTTTTTTTTTTTTCTGGATTAAATCAGGTTCAGGCACCTCGAGCAAAACACCTAGTTTTCTTTTTGCTCCAATGGGTACCCGGAGCTATTGTCGGTAAAGGGAGTTACCACTTCTCTGAGCCCCAACTGAAACTTGGTCCTAAACACTAATAGGGTAGAATAACGCCCCCTGTGTCTGATGGAGAATTGCAGCTGAGGTAGATGCTAGCATGCAAAACAGATCTCTGTGAGGTCCAGCTGTGCCATTTGGTATGTGTCTCCCATTGTCAGCAGCTGGAAACTCTTAGAATAAGTTTGAATGAATACAGTTGCCTTCCAAATATAGTTTTTAAAAGTTTTTGTTCAGTAGAAGCCTGTATACATCTTGTCTTGTTTTGTTTGTGTAATCCTGGCTAGCCCAGAACTCTTAGATCTACCTGCTTCTGCCTCTAAAGCCTATACAATTTAAAGTGAAATACTAGATAACGATAAAAAGGATATCTCTCATACACATAGTATATAGGTCAAATCTCTGAATTAGCGGTCAGCCTGCTCTATGCAGCAAGTTCCAGTACAGCTATAGCTACATAGAGATACTTTGTTTTAACAAAGCAAAACATAAATAAATAAGAAAATGGAAACTTACAAATCAGATGGGGGGGGCTGTTTTTTATTACAGGGTTTCTCTGTGTAGCTCTGGCTGTCCTGAAACTCACTCTGTAGACCAGGCTGGCCTCAAACTCACAGAGATCTGCCTGTCTCTGCCTCCTGCTTAAAGGTGTGTGCCACCACTGCCTGGACTACATAGATTGTTTTTTAGTGACTAGACAAGCATATGAAATATCTAGACCAATACCTGGAAAAATCATCACGTGTTTTCAGAGCTTCCACATAATTTCTCCCCACTAGAAGTAAACAGTTTCTTAAATTCTGTGGTCATATACTATTGTGCTTATCTGTAGACTTACCTTAGGACTATGTTTATCAAACTTTAGTGCCTTTCAAAATTAACTAGCAAACTAGCACTACCCTGAGATTCTAATTCCAGGGAAGTCTAAGATGGATTTTAGCTATCTTTTTTTCCTTTTGTTGAAATAGGGTCTTGGTATGTAGACTGACAGGCCTAATTTACTAACTAGGACAGACTAGCCCTGAACTTGACAACCACACTCCACCTCTACCTCCCAAGTGTTGGGATTGCAGATGGGTACTGGCCAGCCTGGCTTCAGGACTCCATTTCCAGCAATCTCCACAGCCAATTGTCATGCTACTGGTGGGCAGGACACAGCATTGAAATCTTCTTAACAGGAGGTGTCCCTTTGCTGGATGGAAGGGATGAAAAGTCTAAATATAAAAGTTAAGGTTTCCAGAAAGCTTAGATCTTCAAGATCTAAAAACAGGACTCAGAATTTGGGGAATCACCTATATTACATTTCATTCAACAGATGAGTACCTGGCAGGTGCCAGGCAATCAATTTCTAAAGCTGAGTAACAAGTGTTAAGAGTCATTGTGGGGCTGGCTGTTGGTGGTGCACGCCTTTAGTTCCAGCACTGGAGGCAGAGGCAGGTGGATCTCTGTGAGTTCAAGGCCAGCCTGGTCTATAAGAGCTAGTTCCGGGACAGCCTCCAAAGTCACAGAGAAACCATGTCTCAAAAAAACCAAGGGAAAAAGAGAGAGGGAGCGAGAGAGAGAGAAAGATTGATTCTACTGTGAGTCATTGCCTTAGGTTGAGTTCCCCAGAAAGGATGTCAACAAGGAGATTCATGTCCAAGTCATTTGTCCAGTACTAGCTTCCAGGAGAAATTGATAAGAACGAGGGAAGGCAAGAAGATAAAATGTGATCTCTGGCAAAATGTCCCCAAGAAAAATCTGAAGCATCACAGATGAAAACCATTAGAAACAAAACATACTGAAACCTGGGGACATACCAAAACTTACAAAAGGGCTACAAGGGCCTAGGAAGAACGCAGACTGTGTCTGCTGCCATCATGTGACATATAATAAAATGAGGGTGCTCTCTGACTTCAGGGTCTCTAGTTCTGCTGCCTTACCTTGCAGCAGACAGGAGAGGTAATTAGAACTCTGTAATAACTATGTAGTGAATTACAGACTACTGGTCACACTATTGTAGCCCAAGCTGGAGGATCACCACTGGACTTGCATGGGCCTCTTGAAAACTGAAAGGCAGTTGAATAAGGTATTTAAAAGCTCTGGCTTGGCTTGAGACAGGTGTGGCCCTAAATTCTGACTCATCTCTGACTCTGTGACCTTGGAAAGTTCCTTATCTATTTTTTTTCTTGATTTCTCCATCTAAAAACTGGAAATGATAAAGTACTATTTCTGCATGAGTCTATGTTGAAAATAAACTGAGGTAATTCTTACAAATTAGTGTCATACTGAGTGTTCAGTGACCATTAATTGTAATTATTTGGAGGGAGGGCTAGTTGGTTGAGTTCTTGCCTAACATTCAGGCCTAGCGTTCAGGAAACTCTGGGTTCAATTCCTGACATCACATAAATTGGGAATGGTGGTACACATCTGAAATGCCAGGGCTCCAGAGGTAGACATAAGATTAGAGTTCAAGATGGTTCTCAACTGTATAGCCAGCCTATCTAAAAAGAAAATACTTTTAACAGTGTATAGCCCAGGTTGGCTTGGAACTCAAGAGGTCTGCCTGTTTCTGCCTCCTGAGTGCTTGGATTAAAGGCTTGTTTTTGATTTTTGAAGCATAGTGTTATATAACATAGGCTGGCCTGGAACTCATTATGTAGATGAAGCTGGCCTTGTATTCCTAACCTCAGGATTCTATGACACAGATAAGGATTCAAAGCAGTCTGGATCCCAAGGAGAGATCCCCAGAAGACTGGCCACAGGAAGACCTGCAAGAGACCACTGCATCTTTTAAAGCAGGGATGCCCATTGAGCTGTGTATCCACCTTCATAATCTCCCCATCCCTCTCCCTGCCTCTGCCCTTTTAGGCACTGCACTCTTTTGGTGATGGTGGTGGTTTTGTTTTTGAGATGGGGGTGGCCTCCAACTCTCAGAGTCTGCCTGCCTCTGCCTCCCAAGTGCTGGAATTAATGGAGTGTACCACCATTCCCAGTTTAGAGACTGCATTGTAGACACTTTACCCCAGACTCCCCTGCCCCCTACCTCACCCCTGCCTCCCAAGATACTGCTTGTTTCTCAGCTCTTCTGAGGAGAGGCTGTAGTGAGTATCTCTGAAGTTCTTAACAGCCCACCTGAAGTAGGGTCAGTTACCCACCTAGTCTGTCCCTCATTACATATGGTAGCTGTGATTCTGCATTTGCTCTTCCCATCTGGGTACAAGCCAAGCTCCTGGACAGCAGGCACTTAGAAATAACACCAAAACAACAAACACCCAAGGTCTCATGTAGCCTAGGCTGGCTTTGAGTTTGCTGTGTAGCCAAGGATGACGCCTGCCCCTCCTGCTGAGCTTATAGACATGCACTGCTGCATTCTGTTTATGTGTCAATGAGGATCTAGCCCATGGCTTTGTGCCTGCTAGGAAAGAATTCTCTTCATTCAGCTACTTCTCCAGAGCAGGTACTCTATGAGCAGAGACTAAAGTGGAGTGATACATATGTTTAGTACAGTGGATGAGTCTCTGCATGTTTCCACCTAGTTTTCCCTTAGTTTATCAGCTTTGCCTTGGACATCAAAGTGAGATTCTAACCCCTAACATGTCATCTTCCAGGGGTTGTTATTTTCCAAGGTCCTCTAAAAGGTTAGCGATATCAATAGAGTAATAGTATTATGGTCCTAGTGATGCCAATATTTCATACATTCTGAATTTGAGGAAACTGGAGTCCAATGATTTTAGTTCTTAAATTTAGTGCATTGCATCTGGGTAGACTAGCTCCTGACTATTCTTGCCATTCTCTTAAATGGAAATTCCAAGTTCTTGGTACTGAAGCAGCTTACCCTAGTCCACATAGCTGAGAATGACAGTTTGTGCCTAAGTCTGAGATTCTATAACTCAACAGTGTTCTGTACCGTTGCTTTAAATACTTGGATTGGAGAGAAAATGGGGCCAACAGTGGATAAATAACCATGGAACATGAGAACTAAAGTTAACCTAACACTTTTGCTACCCATCACACCCCGTGGCAGGTTGCGGAAACAGTGCCCTGAGCTACGAGCTATTCCTTGGAGGCTTCCCAAATGTGACCAGCGTGGATTACTCTCCAGTAGTGGTGGCAGCTATGCAAGTTCACTATGCCCAGGTGCCCAGTCTACGATGGGAGACCATGGATGTGCGAGCATTGGACTTCTCTAGTGGTTCCTTTGATGTTGTACTGGAGAAGGGCACACTGGATGCCCTGCTGGCCGGGGAGCGGGATCCCTGGAATGTATCTTCTGAAGGTATCCACACTTTGGACCAGGTGCTGAGTGAGGTAAGGAAGCAACAAGACAGAAGATCGAGATGCAGGAGGGGTGCGGGGTGAGGCACTGGGGAGGTTAAGAGCACTGACTGCTTTTCCAGAGGTCCTGAGTTCAATTCCCAGCAACCACATGGCTCACAACCATCTATAATGAGATTGGTACCCTCATCTGGCTTGCTGGATGCAAGCAGAAAACTATATACATAATGAATAAATAAATCTTAAAAAAAAAAAAAAAAAAAAGTGCTGGGAAAGGCTTGAACTTTCAAGAGAATGGAAGAACCCAGAAATCAGAAAGTGAGACTTGGAGCCAGGCAATGGTGGCACTTGTCTTTAATCCCAGCACTCAGGAGGCAGAGGCAAGTGGATCTCTGTGAGTTTGAGGTCAGCCTGGCCTATAGAGCGAGTTCCAGGACAGCACTGTCTCAAAAAACGAAAGAGAGAGAGAGAGTGAGGCTTCAAAAGTATAGTTTTCTGAAGAACATGAGACTGAAGTGACTGCACTACAAAGGCCTGTGGTTGGGTACAGTTGGATACTGGCTTGACATAGGGAAGAGGTAGTAGTAGCCAGGTTCTAGACAGGTGACACAGATTGGGAAAGTGAGTAACCGGTAGGAGAGCAATACCTCTTGCATGTTCCACCCTGTCCAAAATTGAGCCCTATAAAGAATAACCAAAAGAGGGCCTTGTGGTGGTGGCACACGCCGTTAACCCCAGCACTTGGGATGCAGAGGCAGGCGGATCTATGTGAGTTCCAGGCCAGCCTGGTCTACAGAGTGAGTGCAGGCTCCAAAGCTACAGAGAAACCTTGTCCAAAAAACAAAAACAAAAAAGAATAACCAGATGCAGAGGTGGCTTACTCTGCACCAGAAAGCCTGAACTACTGGGTGTGGAGTGGTATCTAAGGTTTGACTAGGAGGTCATTGTGGGTAGTACTGACCTTCGAGAGCCTGGAGATGATTCTGCACTGATGCTTCTCTGTCTGCCTTGCAGGTGAGCCGGGTGCTGGTTCCTGGAGGCCGGTTCATCTCAATGACTTGTGCGGGTCCCCACTTTAGGATCAGACACTATGCTCAACCTCGTTATGGCTGGTCACTGCAGCATACAACCTATGGCAGTGGTTTTCATTTCCACTTTTACCTCATGCATAAGGGCAGAGAGCTCACTGTGGCCCAGCTGGCCCTGGGGGCCCAGATCCTGTCACCCCGCAGTCCTCCTGCCTCACCTTGCTTTCTCCAAGACTCTGATAATGAGGACTTCCTCAGTGCCATTCATCTGTGAGACCGAAATCATGGTCTCCAAGCCCTCCTGTCTAGGGAGCTGGAATTCCCAATTTGGAGCTTGGGAATTGGTTACTGGGTTCTCAAATCCCAGAGGTCTCATGCATAAAACAGTGCTGGTGGGTTGGATAAAGCCCATGTCAACCAATATAGTATGGGTCTAACTAAGTCCCAGATCCCAGACTTCTAGGTTTTGTTTGTTTGTTTCTATAGGGTTCCCCCACCTCCTCTGACATACTGAGTGACCTATGACTTTACCTTTTGGGCTAAAGATCAACACAGCTCCTCTACAAACCATCCAGCCTTGGGCATTCCCATCCAACCTGGATTTATCCATAAGAGACTAAAGATCTTGAATTTACATTGCTCGTGCTTCTGATCCCAGCCCAGTCCCACACTGTCCATCTGTCCAGCTAAGGCTGTACATGTACTTAAGGAGGCCACATAGTCAAGATGTTCCCACACAAGGGTGCCTGCTAGTGCTCACTTGGCAACCCTTCCCCACCAGGAACTTGTACCCAAGATTCTCCACACCTGTCTCCCAGCAGACTGAAGTAGCAGACACACATGCACACACACTCACACACATGGAGGTCTGTGTTTATTCACACACTCCTGTTACATTGAGGATGAAGAAACATTTTTACAAAGGACAACCCTGGGTTAAAAACATCTTCAGGTCCACAGGTGTCATCCAAAGGTACTGAGCAGTCTCCATTTGGGTTCCCAGGGATAGCATGAAGGGGTCCAAGGTAAAATCAGATCTGGGCCCTTAAAAGGTACCTTGGGAAGAAGGAGTCTCCCAATGAGTCTCCTGGGGTCAGGTTTGGACAGACTGGCCATGTGGTTAGTTACCATGTTAGGGCTTGTCCTATCCCAGTCTCAACACCTGTTCTATCTGCCAGGCGCAGAAGAGCTTGGCGGAGGCTGTGGGGGAAGGGCACAAGCCATGAGAGGAGCCAGTAAACAAAGAATCGGATATAAAAATACAAATGTGCTGAGGAAGTCCCTTAGAAAGAGGCTAGGGTCACGCCAGACGAGGATACAGTTGAGGAAAGGCCCAAAGGGCTAGGCTGAGGTGGGTAGGAAGCTCATGCAAATATGCAGCCAAACCTCCCTGGCCGCGCAGTCCGACGCCGCCGCAGCTGTCCGGGCTGCAGACCAGATTGATCAGAGGAGGGGCGGGGCAGGGGAGCCGTGCGGGAGGGGGCAGGCTGGGGGCCGTGGGTCTCTGTGTCGGTTCCGGTGTGCGGGGTGGAGCTGCGGCCCGAGGTTCTAAAGTGCATGAGTGCGTCGGCGGGCTCCGGGCTGGTCCGCACCACCACTACCGCCGCCGCCGTGGTGCTGAAGCGGACAGCTCCGGAGCGCCTGGCAGCGGCGGTAGCAACACTGACCCCGCGGCGGCGTGGCCCTGCAGCCCCCGCCCGCAGGCACCTCGGCCCGGGCGGGGGTGCGCCGGCAGCCGCATCGCCGGCCCGTGCTCCTGGCCGCTGCGGGGCTGGGCCCGGAGCCCGCCGCCAGAGCCGGCGCGTCTACACTCCGGACGGAGGCTTCTCCCCCATCCCCTTCAGCACGTCGTCTATCCGGTCATCCTCGATCACCACTGCGCAAGGAGAAAGCGCATCAGCCGCGTGGTCTCGGGGGGCGGCGGCGAGAGTGGGGCCCGTGTCCTCACACCCCGCGCAAATCTACTCTACTGCCTATGTTCCCGCGACACTACTCGAAAACCCATGCCCTCCTCACCCGAACTCTCCCGCAGACCCTACCTGGTACCAAATCTACTCCCTGTGTGGGAACACCCCTCTTCCAAAGACTCCCAGTGCGAACCCTCCCGTCGCCTGAGACTTCCTCCATCTAAACTATTCAGAAATCTCTCCCTTCGACAGAGACCCCTCCTCAAACTGGGCTCTGATAAAACTGCCACCTGATGTGACCCTTTCCTCCACCTGAATCCGTTCTGATGCTGGCATCCGGAGTTCCTTCCCCATGCAAACAAGACAACCGAACCTTTGGCCTCCCTGCCCTCCAGCAGCATCCACCTGCTCATCTTAGCCCAAGCAATCGGCCCACCATCCTGCGTTCTCATTGCCAAGCATCCCCAAATACCCTAGGCGGCCCCTCCCCCCTCGACCAGGAGCCAGAACTCTTTTTTTTTTTTTTTTTTTTTTTTTTTTTCCCCAGAAGTGGCAAGCTTCGAATCCGGGACACTGTATTCCCGGGAGAGGGAAAGAATGGGACAACTCCACAGCAGGGACCCTCCCCACCCCGGGCGGGTACGCAGCTGGCTGAGCTGGTCTGCGGCAAGAGCAGTTGCCACTTGACAGGGAACGGCAGCCTGAGGACGCTGGGCGAAGGATTTCTGGGTCAGGCGGCGACTCCGGGCCCGGGCCGCGTACCTCTCTTGGCTCGGCCGATCTGGCCCAGCTTGGGGGGCCGCTTGGCCTGGTTGCCGGCGAAGAAGGAGTTGGTGTCCTGCAGGCGGCAGCTGAAAGAGAGGTCGGAGCCCTCTGGGTCTGCGCCGAAGCGGCCCATCTTGTCCTCGCCGTAGGGTAGGATCTCGGACATGGCGGGCACCGGGCGGGCTAGGGACTGCGGCGGGGCACGGGCAGAGGCTAGCTGCCGGACCGGCCCTAGCTCAGCAGGGGAGCCGGCGGAAGGATGAAGTCATACAGCATCCGGGACTGCGGTGCCGAGCGGGGCCTCCTCCCCCGCGCCTCCGCCTCCCGGGCCGCTGGGCAGGCGGCGGCGGCAGCGGCGGGGACCGGGCGGGGGCGGGGCGGGGGCGGCGGCGGCGGCGAGAGCGGAATGACGATGAGCGCCCAACTGCGGCAGAGAACGGCAGGCGGGGCGCGGTGGAGGCGGGGCGGGCACCGGCCAGCGGAAAGGGGCGGGGCCCAGCGGTCCGAGCGAGCCCGGTGATCCCTGGAGTGGAGCGTGCAGCGGAGGGAGGCTCCCGCGATGTGGCCCGGAATGGCCGCCACGTGGGCCCGGGGAACCGCAGCGGCCGGTGCAGGCGATAGATAGCAGAGAGCGGGTAGCCTAGTGCTTAGGGAAGAAGGGGAGGGTCCGACGCCGCGGCTAGGGAAGAGCGCCAAAAGCTGGGGGCGCAGCAGAGCCTCGGAAGGAGGCGGCCAGACTGGCAGTGGACACGGCCCGGACTCTGAAAGGAGCCTGGAAAGGGCGGAATACGCGTGAAAAGAGGGGAAGGTACCAGGCGACAGGAGCGCGGGAAGAGCTCGGGCCTGGGGGTGGTGCCACAGTGGTCGGCGCGTCCCCAGATCCTAGTGCTCGCTCGCAGGTCCCCAGCAGTTGGTCAATTTGTATTCGACTGTCTCTGCATCTGTCAGTCTACGTCTGCGCATCTGATCTGGTCTCTGCGTGTCGGGTTTGGACTTTCTGTATCTGCCCCCATACCCGGCCCCTGTCTGAGTACCATTGGGTCTGTCCCCCGAGACTGTGTTGCGGCCTTTCAGTAGGATCTTAACACCGCAACCGCAGCGTGCACCCGAGTAGTAGACTCCCCACAAACCCTAGGCCCGGTGTTGGCGCCAAAATCCAGGCTCAAAGCGCCAGTCGCTCCACGCGGTTCCCTGAGCCCTGGAGGCTAGCTCTAGCTGGCAGTGTGGGAGAAATGAATGGCAGCATCGCGGCGGGCGCCCTGGTTGCGGATGACGCAGGGAAGCCCGGAGTGCCTGAGCACGAGGCGCGCGCTAGTAAGCGTCGGGACGGGCA